GTGTTTTCTACCTGCCAGGCTGTCTGTACTGCGTCCATCACGGTCCTGTCAGATTATATAATCAAGTTAAACATTAGGCGGTGTGCTGAAGAGATTATTTATATCAGGTCTCGCTTTTATAGCTCTTGATTTTTAACATTATATTCATACTTCCTCCCAGCATTAGAAACACTCAACGCGTAACTACCCAGTCATTGCAACCTTCTTTCTGTTCCCTTTCCAGCATCCGTTGTAATTCTGAAGGAAAACATTTTACCCAAGGAGCTATACAACTTTGACGCGAAGAAATCGCACGAAGTAGATTCTTTGGACGAGCCGTACGACTATGATTCTATTATGCACTACAAAAGAACACTTTTTGCCAAGCCGGGCAAGGCGGAGACGATAAGGCCTAACGATCCAAAGGCAATAATTGGCTTGATACCAAATCTCAGTCCGGGTGATATTAGACAGACAAACAAGCTCTACAAATGCCCCTGTAAGTGCAATTAAACCCAGTTTGTGTCTTCCACTTACGCTTGTGCTTAGAAAGCTCTGGATGCGGGACCTCGCGTTACGTTTGTGACTTTCTGTACAATTACTCTGTGTACAGGTGTTCCTAATACGCACAGATCTAGGTTTGACGGACTTAATGCTATTTTACGCTTTTATGGAAAATATGCAAAGTATAAACCTTTTGCAGTTTTATTTATTCTTTATTAATTTGCGGATGTTTGCGCTCGCATGCTTTAAAGTCATTTATATTGCACAGTTGATCAGTGAATTTTCACATAACCATTACCATTTTATGTTAGTAAATAATATTTTGCCAACCAATTTAGGCCGTTTTTTACTTATCGCACTAAGTATACCGCTATAATAGTTTGAGTAGACGCCGCGTGCGCTAACTTCGCGCAACAGAATTATTTTGTCGATACCACGATATTGATTTCTGCTGTACAATGCACCGTATATATAGATATTTGTCTGGCGATTTTTTGTGTGCAGAAAATTGATTTGGTTTCTGCACTTTAACCTGTAAGCCATCTCTATTATTTCATGCTAAAGAAGAAGTTGGGAACAATTTAGAATAAAAACGGTACAAGTTACTGATATTGTGTTTTTTTCCCCTGAAATGCTAAAACAGCCACAGTCCGAAGATAGCACTGCCGTCCGCCGTGTTTGCATTCAAGGGAATTTCCACGAAGCAGCCGTTACATAGAGGGCGATCTTATCGATTTGAATGGACAACATAGTTATGTCTTCTGTCTTAGAAGAGCAGGTGACAAGCAAATGTGCGCTTTGGATAAAATTTCACCGGACTAAAGTAGTCGCCTGTTATTAAGCCCACGGTTAATAGGCCCAGCCGCGTATTAAGCCCAAACCAGCTTGGGACGGAATTTTACATAGCAAAATCTGCCGGCTAATAAGCCCAGTCGCCGGCGACGGAATTTTACATAGCAAAATCCGCCGGCTAATAAGCCCAGTCGCCGGCTTAATGTGCATAGAGTTAAGTGACCGTGGCCTCGCCATGCGCGGATATCGTGTGGACCTCAAGGGAAGCCTTCTGGGTGATTTATAGGGTCCCATCAAGCTACCCTAATTCTTTCGGTCAAACACTGTTAGCAATAGCAGAAGCAACCGCTATACGGTTAAGGGAAGGCAGTCCTGTGCGCACAAAACAACATCCGAACTTGGCGTGGCCAACTGTCACTTAACTGCACGCAGTATGTCGCGTCTAATTTCTATCTCCTCCCTCACCCTGCCTCCCGGTCCGGCATCAAAAAACCCTCAGTCCCGC